ATAAAGTAAACTTCTACTACCTCGACTAAGTGAACTTCGGACTTCATGACCCGTAAAACTAGACATGCAAAATCAATATTCAAATCGTCATTGCAGCAGTACGTCGACAAACACTATCAGTTACAAAGATATTTTTTGAAAAAGCCACTTACTTTCGTGCCATCGTCTGGGGGTAATTCTATTAATCCGTCGTCACCAGGGTTGTAACTAGTAGCCGGCAACGCTCCTTCTGCCAAACTATTGCAAAGTTTCTCATCAAATGGCAGTTGAAATTTAGGACTCCCATCAGTCCTCCCTCTACATTGAACAAATCTTTACTCTTAATTGTAGAACTTTACTTCAAATAAATGAAGGAAAATGCCATATGGAATTTACTGACAACTTACTCCCTTAATTCATCCGCCGTCGTATATATATGAAAAAAGTCACTGTCGTCCACATCAGGCCTCCTAGTTGGTATGTACGGTGTCGCTTTTGGCCTCCCAGTGGCTTCATCAATTGGTACCGTAATTGACTCTAGCGATTTCTGGAAACAACTCTCTTTAATGACGATCTAACTTTATAATTCAACCAGTTGATGAAAATTGCGTCCACACTTTAAATTACAAAAATAATTTAACCTACAAACTGCAGCTTTAATAGGAACTGCGATAATTAATATGCGGATGTCAGTGACCTGAGAAATCTATAAGTTTTACGACACTAAGTCCATAGATTGAAACTGAAAGCTAAAATGACAATAAGTTAAAACCTGTGGATAATCACATCCGTCTGCCAAATGCAAATTAAAAAGGCTGTGAATCAGTGATGGTGACTTTGTATCCCTCAGTGCAGTTGTGTTGTCCTGTAAAATTTTAAAGCACTTTTAAAAGATTGAGGTAAATGCAGATATTGTTAACTAATTTTAAAGCTTGAAATACATATAAACCCTACAAAAAATAGGTGCGACAAGAAAAACACTTAATACCAAAACTCTTGAAGTTCGTTCTGATCTATCTGATTCAATCTTTTTGAAAATGATAAACTTGCATTAAGCCGCCAAAAGTAAGATGATCTATCGATAGAATCAAGAAATCTAACTATCATTATACCAGACTGAGCGGAATTAACCTATCAAACTATTCCACCACCAAAAAAGTTTAAAGTTCAAAAACACATGATTTCTTAACAGAATTATGCAACAACACCAACTAACAAAAAAACAAAAATATTTCGTCCGAGCCAGGACTACACTATCAACCGTAATAAGTTCTTAAAAGAATTACAGCATATGCTGTTGAGAATTATCAAACAAATCTAGATGGCAATTGGGAAATAACTTTAATAAATCACATTTTCATCACTTGCATATAAGCCTAGTTATTTTAAAAAAATCAATAAGGTAGCAGTAAATCTAAAAATAAACTAGAAAAAACACTGTCACTACATTCTGACGCTCAATCAGAGCAATAAAATCCTTACTACAAAGGAAGACGACTAAACATAATCTACTAGATGATCTAGAAATACAAGAAAATTACTGCATCCTTACAACTGAAAGGAAAGAAAACTCATTAAGAGCTGCTGACCAATAATTCGGAATTCTTCTTTGCCTTTTCCTTCTTCTTCTTCTTCTCCCTCCTAGTCTGCTTCTTAGTTGGCTGTCGGTTTTCTTTAGCCTTTTCTAAATATGCTAATTAATTAAATCAACCCAACAAAGTTGACGCCCCCAATCTAATTACCACTTTGCTTATTTTGAAATAGCTTATAAAGGAATATTAGAGCAGATAAAAAATAAAATTCTGCGGTAAATATAAAAAAACAGCTTAAATTTCGATGTTTTTTGGCACTTAAGAAATGCTAAAACTTACTCTTATTACTAATTTGAATACCGTTATCAAGTAATAAACAAGGCTACGATGAAATAAAAACAATTTTGGAAAACTTACCTACTGCCACATTACGCGATGAAGTAGTCGTAAGATTATTCTGGTCCAGTGTTTTATGGTCCCGTTCCTGATACCCATTATTCCGCAAAACATTGAATGCTGTTAGTACGACACTGTCATCCGTTAGGTTACTTACACTAAACAAAAAATAATAGTACAGATGTGGCCAGATCAAAATTTTGATTTCATATCCTTAATAAATTAACAGAAATTAATAAAATCACAATTTTGGAGAAATTTCTATTAGGACCTACGAAGAAAAACACGCAATGAACCTAGAGGGGCCACCGGGCTTGGATGTGTTGTCCACAGTCATTGTGCCTTTTGAAGAGTGGTCGAACAGTTCCGGTTCATCCGATTCAACAGAACTAGTGGAAGACGAACTAGTATCCATAACTGACCCGGTTAAAGAGCTGCGACGCTTAAAAAGATGCACTTTCAAATCTATTACGTGCTTCTGTAGTTATAAATGGAACTAGAACTCTTACAGATGAATCAATCTTATTATAAGCAATAAATCAGCATCAACTAGAAACTGTTTTCATGCTTACTGAGAACGGTCTTTATAAAAAAGAGAAAATACTGTATTGTAACATGGATGCAAAAGTATGATCTATGTAGGAGAAATGAAGATTTGGTTGAGTAATAATAGGTAGAATTCTTCAATATCTAAAACCAAAGAATAAATCTCAACCTTTTCTTGACAATAAACTGGTCTCAAAAACGGCACTTTGAAGCTTTTTGATCACGTCATTTAAATCAACCATATTTTGAAGAGTAGAAAAAAAAGAAATTACAGCTAACTTTTTCACTGAATTTCTCCGTCATAGTATTTTCATTCGACGATCCTTTTTTCCTCTTCAAGTCTTTATTTCTTTTCATTATCCTAAAATACATTTATGTTGTCTTAGAAATTCACTGAAATAAGAAATTTGCCTCGCAAAAAAAGCATCAATAAAACAGAAAAATATATTCGGACATTTGTACACCACCTCTGAACTTAGAAACACTCTTGTCCTTCAACAGACTGTATAATCCAAACAGTCCAGTTGTTGACTGTATTAAAAACAAGATGTGAAATAAAAAAATAAAGTGTTCTTAAGAAATAAAAAATAAAAAAGAAAATTTCTAGCCTAAACGTAACTTTCGTTTACAAAAAATAACAAAAAAAAAAAA